GAAAGACTTCGGGGCAGAGCACGCCGAAGGGTTGGTCCCCATTCCCCAAACCGGAGGCGTGGCGTGGGTTAGACTGGGGGAAGGGGGGGGAAGGCAGAATGACGCGTTGGGGGGAGGGTATGCCCAGCTTTCTGGTGTGAGGTGGGGGGGGAGAGGAGGGATGACACGTGGTACCCTAACGTCTGAAAGGAAACCTGCCGCTTGGCTGCACGTGCACCGGGTGGCGCGGTGGGAAGCCGGTTTGCGTGCGCTGATAACCGCTGGTTTCGGGAGCGCGTCTTGAGGGTTTGTGGCAAGGTGAACGGTGGCGATGTTTGCGGGCGGAACTGGGAGCCGAAGTCAAGACAGCTGGAATGCCACCCAGGATCTGTTTCTGCATGTATAAAAACGTTATGTAACACAGGTTTTTAGGGAGTGAAGGGACTGCTTCGGTATCCCCTAAAGGCGTTTACCCCCATCTCTCACGATCAGCCGCATCTTTTTATCAATTTCATAGAACAAATAGCCTCTTATCTTTTTTTGAAAAGCCCAAGACTTTTGAAGTTAAGACTTGATTTCCCCTCCCCTTGGTTTCCTGGTCTGCCCAAGCTTTGGCAAGGAGAAACAATTCCACTAATAAACCTTTCATAGGTGTCACGTCTTTAAAGTGGAGGCATTTAAGGCAAAACTGCAGGCTAAGGCCATAGATTGACGTTGAAGTTACCTGTCGTTTTTCTTCTGTCCATTTGCTACTGATTAATTGAGGTCGGATTTAATTTGAGCTAAGGGAACTATTGCCCTATGTGTAAAGCAGCCAGATTGAGCAGCTTTCAGTCCTAGTAACTCCCCCCACCCCCATTTTGGGCAGCTAGCCTGGTTACTTCTTTGACATACCAAACCTTTTGTGACAGAATTTCTGTTTAATAATTTTCTGCCAATGTCCCTCTATTAAATGAGCAGATAGTATAACATTTTATCATGTTTATTTTTGAACATTCAGAAATACAGTCAAAATTTATTGGTGGAACAAGGAAACATCCCTTAATTTATGAAGATTAATAAATGCCTTCCATGTCAAACTAAAAATGTTTTGGTGATTAGGTTTTATTATTTATGCATTATATTTATATCCAATTGCAACAGAAAAACCATTTTGATTTCTGTGCAGTTATCACAATATGAAACTTTATAGGCCCTGCATCTTGCTGAAACTTAACAGAACTGTTGGTTATAGTTGATGAAGCTTGTGCTATATTTAGTAGCAGGATAAGACCTAATGGGTGTTTAATGCTATTTACAGCCTAAACTGTGCACAACAACTAAAATGTAGAACACTTTCTCTCTTTGAATTCTTTAGTTATTCACTAAATGAAATCAACTAGATGTAGGAATAGAATAGAATTCTTTATTGGCCAAGTGTGATTGGACACATAAGGAATTTGTCTTGGTGCATATGCTCTCAGTGTACACAAAAGATACATTTGTCAAGAGTCAAGAAAGGTGACTCTTGAGCTAGCTGTCTAGCACATTTAGGATGTGGGAGTGTGTTATAACATCCTTTGAGAAGTAAACCAACTCACTGAATCCAGTGAGTGAAGAAATTGAGCCTAGTTACTTGTGGCTTGGCTTCCTTCAGATAACCAACATGCATGCAGCTGGTGCGTTGAAAAGTCAAAACATGTTTTGAAGGAAGGTGTGACTCATAGCCAAGTCCATCAAAGATGTATTTGCCTTTTCTTTTGTTACAAAGCTATTATTAAGTATTATTGGAGAATTGTTTTGCTAATAAATGCTTACTATATTCACAATTTACAAAACACAAGATCTGTAACATTAAATATTTCTGGAAGTCACCCAGAGTCATTGATGAGTAGGCAGCCCTATTAAAGTATAAATAATATCTAATTTGCAATTTAAGATAGTATAAATTATTTTATATTCTTAAATGTATCTTATAATCAAGATTAAAGTAGTAGATTTAATCAGTTCAAATATTCTAGCTCACAATAGCCAGACACTGTTTTTTGGCTAAGTCTAAAAACACTAGAGAATTCCTGGAAACCTGGCACTCAGACAAAGCAGCCATCAACAGGCACATAGAAGTAAACAACACACACACACACAGACACACACACACACACACACACACCACATTCCAAAGAGACAATCAAAAAGCCAAAAATGAAAGAAAGAAACCAAAACACCACCCCACCATCACACAACACACAGATAAACTCCGAGACAAATACAAGAACAGTAATTGTTTACTTGTTTGTTTACAATATCCCAACAAACTAATAGTAAACAGGCTAATCAAGGAACCACAAGAACAGTAACACTGGTATATAAAAAGAGAACAAACCCTACACCTTTATAGCACTGATGTTACCTTGTTTGGTAATGAAACATCTGCCAGAAAACAGCTAAGCTTAGACAGCACCCAGATATATCCTGAAGTAAAAAATTGTATTATAATATGCTCTGTCAGAGAAATATTCATAAACATATGAAATAAGTAAATAAAATTGGATAGAATCCTGAAAAAAGTTCCTTCAAAATACTAGTGGAATTGGAATCTATAAAAACAATAGGCCAAAGACAGAAATGATGGTTGCTTTCTTATTTTATGTATCATTTCACCCATCTATTTCTTAAAAGAACATTCCCAAGTATATGAAAGAATAAAAGAGATTGACAGGTTGTAATTAGGTTTAAAGAATATTAAAATGTTTTTTGTATTTTGCTGGTAAATTTTGCTTTATGTATTGTTGCAGTGCACTAAAATTGACTCATTGTCTTTAGAGGTCCGCAGAATATAATTCTCAGATAATTTACAGTTATTGACCCAGATGTATCAAAGCTAGCTGATTGCAATGAATCAAGCTAATAAGAACCGTCTCTAGAAATGTAGAAAAACAGTGCTTTTCAGACGTCCTAATTTATTTTTCTATATTTAACTTCGAATAATCAGTAGATCATGGAATAGCAGTGCTGAAACAGAACATATGCATTCTAAGATATCTGGAAAGAAAAGGAGGTGTTTTTCTGCTTCATCTAAGACTTTTTTTTTCTCCAAAAAAGAAAAATGAAAAGAAATTGATTTTTACATATTTTCTTTTCATACAATAAAAAATATTTGTAAAACAAATTGATATGACTTTAGAGATATTTCTGCCAAATCTAAGAAACAAACAAGTGAAGGGTTTTACTTAAGTCCATGCAAATGATAACAGAAGATTATACTATAGTTTGCTGTTAAGAAAACATTTCATTTGAAAAAAGATATGGATTCTGAGTGGCTGGAAGCATGGTGGCTCAGTGGCTTAAAGAGTCTGGAGAAAGTCTATGCTCTGGCACTTCGAGTCCTAGAACGGGGTGAGCGCCTTGGCTTCTGCCAAGCTATCAATTTGAGAGCATGCTACATGCAAGTAGATAAATAGGTTCCACTTCAGTGGGACAAATAACAGAACTTTATGTGGAAGTACAAACACAATTGATGCTGGATCTGCCCGAGTGCAATGTCTGAATGCGAGGCGACATTGGTAGAGGGAAAAAGCCCTGGCTGCTGCTGCGGAATGCCATTAGCCATTCTGAGTGCATTCTAGCTCACCCTCTGTGGTATACTTTTAGATAGCGTGTGAGCATGAACCGAATGGACTAGCAGTCTTAGGCAGGCAAACAACTACTATATATTAACCCTGTAGTCTCCTAGCTAATGTATCGTTACCTTAAGATAAATAAATCCTGTGGCTTCATGCCTAAGGCTGGATTAGAAGTCTCCTGGCTTCTAGCCTGATGTCTTAACCATTACACAAGATTGACTGTCATGCATTTAATAGTACAATTATTTTTCTTATCCCATGATTGAGAAACACTCTTCAATTTTGATTTGGTGAAATCTATGCAAGTCTGACTTGAATCATATTTATAGCTTTTTTAATCTTGAGTGCTATACACTGGCTCATACAATAATTTCCCACAGAATAGTTGATAAATGTTTACAAAGAATTCAGGTGATCAGCAATAGCTCTATATTTACATATGGATAATAGTCATCCTGTAAGCCTTTATTCTATTTAAAACCATCCTTATATATTAATCTATAATACTAGATTACAGATTAGTCTTCTTTAATTTGTATTATAGGTTATTATACTAGATTATATACTACTATAAATAACACAAAATGCTATTCAATGACAAACCTTTTGTTTTTTTTAAATGCTTCATTGCATTAAAAACAATGAATAGGTTTTTATTTCTATAACTTCACATTTGGGGAAAGTATTTTATTACCTACCTTACGTAATAGTGACCTTAAAGTTATTTTTGCTGAAAAGTAAATATTATTTAATTAAAAATTAAAGATGCAATGCTGTTACTGTTAGCAAGCCTAACAGTAACCGTAACAGTGAGAGAGAAAAAGTAATATCCTTTGAGCAACCTTTCCTACATTTTGCTCCTCAGTTCTCTAGAAATAGTTCCTAAATTTCAGATTAATTAGAATAAATGTGTCTTAAAAGATTTGACCAGAACTATTAAAAGAAATAGAATATGTAAACAACAAATTAAGATTTTCAAAGAATGGATATTGAACTACATGTTTCATAACTTTATATCTGTAGCAATTATGTTCTTGGCCATATTTTCAAGCAATGTGAGGACCAAATTTTATCTAGAAAATTGCAGGAAAATAATTTTTGGATTTAAGACCATATGCAATATTTCAGTTTAGATAAGGAGATCTGCTAACCCTATACCATATTGTCAATTATACCTTGCTAAGTAAGATTTCATTTTGCCTTCTAGTTTCATCTCAAGCCTTGTGATAAAATTCTAATATTTAGGAGTGATGAAATGATGATGCAATAACCTATGAATTCACATGATGTTCAAAATATTTGGACATATATTTATTATATTTTAGTAAGTAAGAGAAATACAAATTGCATGAGCAGATAATATTTCCAGTCATTTGTCAATTGATGAGATATTTTTGAAAAAAATCCTTTTTCGCCAAAGGTGGCTTTCTAAAAGATGACCATAGAGGAACTTCCTGACCCTTCTGAAGATGAAGTTTCATTAAGTAGAAGACACCAGTATTTTATCTTGGGCTCTGAAGATCCAATTACACATTCAGTCTCTGCTGCACCAATGCCTTCAGAATATGGTAAGACTATTTATAGAAGGAGGTAACTATGCAGAGCTGTTTTCAAAATATTGAATGAGTAGAGATTGATTCCAAAGGGATGCTCGGAACTTAAAACTAATTAACATTATCTGGCAAAATATTACAATTCTTTTAAAAAATGTGCTGTATGCTAGATGTAGTGAATTATCTTTCTCAGAATAGCTTTATTATATAAACGGTGCACAAGACACATCTTGGAAAATTATTTGGGTTCCAACAGAAAAAAGTAGTTTAGTATGAAATATATAAAATTATATTGCTATCAGGGCATCAAGAGCAATTTTGAGTGCTATGAGAAAATTTGTTTTGCAAGTGTCATGGAAGCTGTTGTACAATATTTTATATGCTAGTCATGTGAAAAATTGATATATTAGAACTTCTTTCCTCTTTGGGCATCTTTCCTTGGTGCAAGACTAGAAGCAAGCAGGTGAATAAATATTCTCTGACAAAATAAACTTGCACAAAAACAAATTATCTCAGATTTGCATATATTGTAATTAATTAAATCACATTACAATTAAAGAAGGCAGCTCAATAAATAAAATGTGTAATTTAATACAAAGCTAAATAAAATATTAATAAATAACATCATATTTGTTAAGCTGAACTAAATTTAAAAATGAAATTGAGAAATTAAGAAAGAACACAATGAATTGTAGCCGCTTCTTTAATAATCTTAACAATAAGAGTGACTAAAATATAGTTTTAGTGAAGACCAGTTTATGCACAGCTTCAGACTATGTTGCTTCTGATTATTAACTTACTCAAAAGATCAAATAGACAATGCAGATGACCTTCTGACAGGTTAGAATTACAACAATAAAATGGATTAAAAGCTTTTGAATATTCCTTGGCACTGAAGCAAATGGCAACAACATTTACCATTGTATATACAGTTTTTGTAATGCAACAAGGTATGCATTCATGGTTTCTGTTTTAACTTAGTTAAACAGAAAGCTATCTTGATTTTACTCCAGGAGGATAAATTTCTGTAAGAATGCTTATCTGATTGTCTGTATGAAGTCTGGTTTTGTCTACACTTGTTCACATTGGGAGACATATGACTTAGAGAAGCTACATTTTTAAAATAAAATTTCAAATTTGAAAATTTCTAAGCTGCATGTTTTGGTCTCTATGTCTAACAGCTTGAGGTTAGACAACTCTTTTCTATTAACAGTAGTCTCTAGAATAAGATTTCTCTCAATTTTGGCTATTAAACTGGTTTTTAAGACTTTGGATAAATGAAATAAAATAAATGTAAAGTAAAATTGTTATTATCTGCACAGAGTAAACGTGAAACAGATAATTAGTTCATTGACTAATTAAAAAGGGAAGGTGCCAAATCACAACCTTATTTCCTGTCTCTGTTTAGAGAGGATAACATGAAGATTAGGCATCCCTTAAAATATGAGGCATAGACAAGATATAGAAGGTGATGGAAAAAATTCCTGTGATAAAATTAAGTATAAATTGTATTGAATGCCAACATCCACAAAGAAAGCAAATAATTTGCCCATCTTGATCTCTGTATGTTTATTAAATAAATGATTTAAAATATAAGCTTTATCAACAATAGGGTACATGTACACCTACTACAGGTTTTGCTTGTTCTGAAAATATATTATGCCAATATCTCTAATTTTATTAAAAGAAATTGCACATATATTTCAGCCACAATCTTTATCAAAGTAATTGTTCTTTAATTAATGACAGTTACCTACTCCCACTTAAAAAAATCTTATACGTCTTGTATGCATGCTTTTAAGCTCCATGTGTTTAAATTTCCATCCAGTGGGCATATGATCAGTCAATTTTTATTATAAAAGATTTTACAAAAATTGGCACTACAATTCAGGTTTATTTTATATAATTAGCCATATAATTAGTATCTGAACAATAGCAGAAGGTAAAGTGGTAAGAACTAATAACTTGTTATCTGTAACAGGGTACCAAATAAGTGTAGAGTAAATTTCAGAGGATGCTTTTATCTGTCCTTCTGTTAAAAGATAGATTTAAAATGACATACCTCTTCGTTCTGGGAAACAATTGTTACAGTTCTGATAAAGTATTTTCCAGAACCCAGTTTGGTTTTTTTTAAGTTCAAATGCAGTCCATAACTAATTCTGAAATAGCTTCATGTTGTATTTTTTAAAAAAACCAATTACCCTTCTTGTCTAACTGATGAGCTTGCCTCTTTTATATGAGGTTCTTTGATTTCCAAAACAACACAGAATTCTTTTGTTGTCAGAGAGGACTAAACATGGTCTAATATTTTTTCTCAGTGCTCTAAATGATTCCAGTATTAATAGTCTATTTTAAAAGTATTAGAGATTCAGATGTTTAAAACCATTCAGTACTGGTTTAGCTAATTGGTCATTTCAGGGACATTTTATTTATTTTAAAATTGATATAGCACTCAATCTGCAGAAATGGGACTTTGACTCTGTTATTGCAATCTTTATTTCAATATTTATGGGCTTAATATATAGAGTGCCAAGACAGCCAGATCCATCGATGTTCCCATTAATAGATTCATCTTTAAAAATGAAAAAAGAAATGCTTGCTGTTGAATCCAAGAGTGAAGAAATGTAAAATGCTCTCCTAAAATCTCTTTTCCTATTTTTCTTTCTGCATAGTTACAATTGTTTGAACAGAGTCATTCAACCTACTTCAGATATTGTACAGTTATTGTTCTTCCTCCCTCACATTCATCCTCTTTAGGGGGAAACTTTTCACAATAGTAATTTAATCAAAAGTGTTTTCCTATTGCACAATAACTTATTTTTCTTTTTTGCAATCTGAAGTGTAAGTCACCACCTAAAGAGTTCCACTCCATTCTCTGCAAACACTGATGATTCTTTAGGGTTTTGTTTGAATCTCAATAAAAATCTAGTGATATTTTTGAATATAAAACTAAATGGTATATCCTAAATGGTTTTTGTGTATATATAATTTGTAGTAAGAATTTTAATTACAATGGAAGAATCTAATGCAAACTAAAAGTAAAATAGAAAGTAAATGGTGCAAAGGAGAAGAAAAAACATAGAAAATAAAAATTAAAAATAAAAATATAGCAATGAAAGAAAAAAGCCATATATAAAGAAATGACTTCCAATCTTCATCATAATAAATATATAAATATAATCTGTTTTTGTAACTCTTCACTCCCTCCTAATTTACAACCAATGATGTCTTGATCCAATATCCGATGTCTTATCTATAGAGAAGTCCATAAAATATCATAGCCCTAACATCAGTAGAATGTTCATTAAGTATTTATTTATTTATTGAATTTATATTAGCAATAGCACTTAGAATTATATACCACTTTACAGTGCTTTTACAGTCCTCACTAAGCGATTTACAGAGTTAGAATATTGCCCCCAACAATCTGGGTCCTCATTTTACCAACCTTGGAAGGATGGAAGGCTGAGTCAACCTTGAGCCGGTGGGACTTGAACTGCTGGCAAACAGTCAGCAGAAGTAACCTGCAGTACTCCACTCTAACCACTGAGCCACCACAGCTCACTAATTGGCACCTATTCGTCCATGGCGACTCAAGGCAGCTTACAGAATATAAAAGCACATTTAAAACAATAAAACTAATAAAAAGAATCAAATTAATATAGTAAAATATAATAAAATCACCCCCAGCCCCTGCCCTGGCAACAGCAGATCACACAAGCCATGTAATGGGCTCCATCCTGCTCTGGGATCCCCAGGCCCATTGGCAGAACCAAGTCTTCAGCGCCTTCTGGAAGAGTATTAGAGTGGGGGGCATGCTAATCTCTGGGGAAATGATGTTCCAGAGAGGGAGCCACCACGGGGAAGGCCCTTCTTCTGGGTCCCAGCAGGTAAATTTCTCTCGGGGATGGGACCTGCAGCATTACCAGAAATAATAAATTATTTTATTTTAACCTTGGTCAAATAAACCAAGTTTATATTCCTTGCTTTTAATTTTGACAATCTTAATCTTTAATCCATTGAAATGCCATAGAATTTGCTTTCTTTTCATTTTTTCTTTTTCCCTTCTGATGAGATTGTTCAAAGTTTTAACAAGCTTTTTTGTAAATCCAGTATAAAAGAATTATCCAAATCATGGTTTATTATTTTATTTCCTTTTTGATTTTTAAATATCAACCCATTTCTTTTCTTTTTCATGTCATTCCCATAGCTTGTCTATTGTATATCCACTTTAAGTGCCATCTCTATCTTGTCAAGTAAAACATGTTTTTCCTTAATAGATTTTCTGGGTTAAGAAGGAAGATTTTCTATAGCAAAATATGAAAGAGTAGTACCCTGAGACTGCCACATTTAAATAAATAATAAGACATCATAAAAATTGTAAAAAAAATATCCTATGTGGAATATTCAATATCATCAAATTAGAGAATCCCTTATTGATTACATAGTAAAATGTTTTCCAATTGTAGATTGTCCAGATGTTTTACATTTGAACACTGTATCTTTAGCTAGCATCTTCAGGGCACTAGGTGGTGAAGGTTTGTTAAGTTGTATTGACTAAAAGTGTTTTTAAAATCTTTCTGAATATTTTTATCAACTAATTTTTTCTTTCATTTTTTCATTCCTGTAGAGTTCTCTTTTTTTGATCCAAATGATGCAGCATGCCAGGAAATTCTTTTCAATCCCAAAACATCTGTGTCTGAATTATTTGCTATCTTAAGACAGTGGGTTCCCCAAGTTCAGCAAAATATTGATATAATAGGAAATGAGGTGAGATATTTATTGATTTCCTGGATTTATCTATAAATATTTATGTTATGCCCTCATTTAATATATGGAAATATTTGTTTAATTTTTGTTTACAGTTCAATGTTACCAAATATGTCTTTACATCTGCATCCTTATTAATTAGAACTTTTCATGATCTGCTAAGAGCAGAATCCTTCATTAAAAATGCATTAAGAACTATATATCTTTTGGGGTTTACATGATTTTGGCAAGTTTTTTTAATTTAAGTAATTCTATAGTACTAAGTGAACTGATGAAATGCAAAGTGGTAATCACATGAACCCAGATATTTATGTCATCATTGCTGTGAAATGTATCAGCTAATCCCTTTGGCAACAAAAATAATTTGTTTCTAGGTACACTATGAGAGTGATATATATTTTACCTTCCAGGAAATAGGAGTTGCTGCATCAGAACCATAAATGATATATTTTTTTCAAAAAAACAGATCATTAAGAGAGGCTGTAACGTGAATGATAGAGATGGCTTGACTGACATGACTCTTTTGCACTATACTTGCAAGTCAGGAGCTCATGGAATTGGTAAGAAAATGAATTGGAAATTTTCTGTGGCTAGTTTTTCCAGCAAGAATAGTAACTGTTTTTCCAAACTTTATCCAGGTATATTGCTTATGCCATTATAGAGAGGAATGAAGTGTCATTCCTCTTCAAATCATCTATCTGTAATATTCTAATATATTAGAAATTCCACCTCCCTCTGTGTTCAAAATTCTACCAATTTGAATAATTTGGATCTTCTGCAGCAGTTTTCCCACCTTCAGCAAATTCTGTTCAAAAGCCACATATCTTCCTGAGCACCCCAAAAATCATTTACTGAATTTCTGAACCCTCCCTCCCACTGGCCAAAGTGATGCGCCTTGGTAACATCACAACATCAGTTCCTATAAGGCTTTGTATAGATGATAAATTAGGTTCTGATACATCAAATAGCATTTTAAAATTCATGAAGTGGCTATATTTACTATATGTAATCACAGACTTCGTACGCTGCCCTTTCTCTCCAAACTTTCTAAATGGAATTGTTGCTAAACTGAAATAATCATACTACCTTTTCTATTTTCCCATTGTTCTGTAGCCATGTAACCTCCTATACAGCAGCAATTTTAAATTAATGGGGTGGAAATTGACAGAAACTTTATATTTTATCATTTGAAAATCCTAGGAAATAATAGAATTACATGTTAGTACGTGGTACAGATAAAAATGTAACATAATTTAATAGTTGAATTAAATAGTTTTAGTCCTAATTGCTATGTAGAAATCAATAGTAGCATTCCACTGAAGTCATAGCATAGGTATAATTTCACTAATATTTTGGTCAGATGTCTTTTAGCATTGCTGGATTGATTATGGGACTCTCTCTACCATTGGTTACTTATCCATTAGCTCTCTATCATGATCTAGAATAGTAACACGTGATGTTTAAGTTATCATCACCACCACCACCACCACAACTGTTACTCCAGCATCTGTGCAAGGAAGGAGCTGTTCTTACTTGAACTTCTGTTCCTATTGTATGAGATGCAATGGATCCTGCAGTATTTCTGCTGTCCTAAAACAGAAACAAGACAATGTAATTCAAATCGAGACATAGAAAATTGCATGGCATACCATAAAATATATTTTTCTACAGAAAATAAGACAAAACTCAAGCATCTTTTTTGCTGCATATGAATCTGTAGAACAAGTTTCCCCAATTTGAATCTTTCCAGATGTGTTGAGATAGCAGTTGTCATTAATTCAAGTCATTGGCTATAGATATTTAGAATCAAGAAAGCTATTGCCCTGGACATCCAGAGAAAAAGGCTATATATAAAGTACTAGGAAACTTTACTTAGTTTTTTCTTCATTGTTGATGTAGTTATAGTCTGACTAATCTTCAAACTCTGGTAAGGAAACATCTTGTAAGGACTGGCTATATGGAAACTTGCCAGTTTTTGACATAGTCTTCTGTTATCTAGTATGTTGTGAAAATCTACCAAGAACCCACTAAAGTACATATAAGCTATGTTTTCAAACTATTTGCTTTGCAGGGGATGTGAAAACAGCAGAAAAATTTGCCTCTCAACTTATTGAGTTGGGTGCAGATATCAGTTTGAGGAGTCGCTGGACTAATATGAATGCTCTGCACTATGCTTCCTATTTTGATGTTCCAGAACTCATTACTATTCTTTTGAAAAATGCAAAACCAAAAGGTAAATCTTGTCAGATGTAATATCAATAAATAAAATGTTCCTTTCCCTTGCCAGTAAGACTATATCCAAACTGATGTTGCCCTGAATATGAGGACAATTTAAAAACTTGGACAAAGATGCATATTGTAATGTGATAACAATGTTGCTAAAATCTCCAAATTATCACACATCAATGAATTACTCATTTTAGCTGCAGTATTTATTAATTATCTCTATCTCTCTGTTTTCCTTCCTTCCTTCCTTCCTTCCTTCCTTCCTTCCTTCCTTCCTTCCTTCCTTCCTTCCTTCCTTCCTTCCTTCCTTCCTTCCTTCCCTGGTTTCCGTCTATACCAGTGATGGCGAACCTTTTCGGCACCAAGTGCCAAAAAGGTGATGAGGAAATGTCGTGTGTACACGCGTTCATCAGAGCCATGCTCCGGAAAAGCCGAACTTCTGGGTTCTGGTGCACATGCGCTCCCAACAATCAGCTGGCTATCATGCGTGTGCACACCGGTTATCAGCACTGGCACATGGGCGAAGGACAGCTGATCGTTGCACACGCATGCTCGCCAGAAACCCGGAAGACAAACAGGCAAGGCCATGCGTGCCAGGCGACATGGCTTCGCATGCCACTTTGGGCACATGTGCTATAGGTTTGTTATCACGTGTCTATACTATTACTGGCAATTGGAGGGTAGAAAGGGAAAGGGAAATGTTTTGCTCCTACAGTGTTTAAATATACAGCCACATCGCTGATCACTGATATTTACCATCATTGTGTCTACCTGAACATACTATTACTAAATATCTATAATGATCTCTTGAAAGTGAAATAATTTAGCTCTAAGATATACAGTATATCTTAAAATAAGTATGGAAAGAAATATTAGAAAAGTGTGTGTGTGTGTGTGTGTGTGTGTGTGTGTCAGTACCTATAAATTGCATACACATTTTCCATATTGAAGTTTTGAATTTCTGTTTATTCTGTTAGTTCCTAAAATTCCATATCAATTGCCACTATTTTAGTGGAAACTTTGAATTGCCATATACTCAAAAAAAAAATTGTGTTTTTTATATATATATATTGCATTGTAGGTTATGAGGTCAATCATTAACAAAGCAACTGGGTTAAAAGGTATTTATTTTGGAAATTATGGCTCTGAACATTCAGTTAAAAAAGATGAAAGATAATATGTGGCCTTCCTTTGAGGTAGATTCTTCAGAGAGAATTTGAGATGGATTTAATTATTATGTGTAATATATTATTGTTTTGAAAATTATATTCATCTTTGTTTTCTTAATAACACATGACAACTGATCTCCCCTTCCTCATGGTGGCTGTTTTTATGCTTATGTCTATGGAGTTGTCATAGACAGGTGATGTAGAACATACTGATATCACATATATTCATTTTATTTAGTTCTTTAAAACATTTTCTTTAAGTAGCTCAATCATACAGATATAGTTATGTCTTATCCTCCCCACCCCTTTTATTTTCATAATGATATTGAGTTTGTGGAAAATAGGAATTAATGACTGCTTTCTGATCATCTTATGAAGTTTCATGTCAATTTTTTTTCATCACTTAATGTTATAAAAATTTAATGTATTCATAATTTTTTACTTTGGGTTTTAGCTTGAAGCTGAATTAGAACAGATGGAACTGTTTACTCCTTTCTGCTTTTTGATTTCTCTTTCTTTTGTTCCCAAATGTATTTTTCTCCTTCAAAATTTCTCAGAATTTCTAGCACAGGTTCTTCTTTTTAATAGTGCAAAGATTTATATTACCAGTTTCTTTTAGCACATGTTTTTATTGATGTGGATGATAAGGAGTAAGCTCTTCACTTCTCCAGTAAATCATTAGAATTTCTTTCTGTCTTCTCAAACATATGAGATGACAGCATAAGATTAGCTATATTATAAGAGGCAGAGAGTGTGAATAAGTTATATGATGGTAGTCAGATGAAAGAGTATATTCCTTGTGAGCCCAGGTTCATGATGTTTGAAAATATTAATTTATTTTTTTGTAAAGCCTTCATGTTTCCCTAGAAGGGAGCATTGGTTCTTAGAGGATGACTTTAAGCAAGTTCTTAACCAATGTCAGCACTTCGCAACAACACGGTTGTTACATAAAGTTGACAGCCGTGCAGGCTTCCAGTAACAGGTAGTGTTTTCTCTGATGCTAAAAGGTTTGCTGCATCTTGTTCCATTGAAGGGGAAATTTTAGCAGAACCTTTGAAGGAAGGAAGTCCTATTTTCCCTTCCCATTGCTATTTTTCTAAAAGCAGAGGAACAATTGATCCTTAAAAATGCCTGAGAACTATTTAATGCCTGAAAATTATTTATTGGCCCTTTTCTCACGTTACGTTTAATTAGGCCAGGGAATAAGTGTGAAGAAGCTGAAAAACTAACACATCAGACAATAAATTGAATAAATCACAGGATCAATTCAATTTCCTACTCTATACAGGAATCCAAATTCATCCATCACAAATGGAAATCTAGGCTCTACCAAAACACAACCAATGGAAGGGAGCTATCTATTGTATTAGAAATTTAATAATTATAATTCATTGCTGCATTGTGCAGATTTTCTCTAAATATTGCCTTCTTTCAGTTGTTTCAAATGTATGTTTAGTTTTACCCATGAGGTATTCAGCTAGCTTTGCTCCTCTTTATTCTTGTTCATTCTGTCTTTAAATAGAGAGGATACTTGTGCAACTGAGAGCTTCCTTTTGATACTTTGTTTAATTTCCAGAGTTAAATTGTTCAAACAATCAGGAAAGAATTTGTATCTGCCTTTTTAAAAAATGATGAATTTAAACCATCAGCATATGCATGCTTGGATAACACTTTTGTGTGTAGTGACCAATGTGAACATGAAACATAAATATGCACAAAGAGACAACTGCAGAAAGATTTCAAAGTACTTCTGCCTAGTTTCCTGGAGATCACAACTGATCTGACACTTTGAGGAGGAATGCTTTTTGCTCATACTTTTTTTGCTCTCACTTATTATTATTGCTGATGTTGAATTCTCATATCCCAGCTTCTCTGGTCCCAATGTTTTCAGACAGCCTTTAAGTTGCTATTTATTAATCTGTCACATGAATTGTATTCAAGCAAATTGATATTATTTCTCTTATTGCTAAAAAGTCAATTTGGAAAGCAGTAGTTGCATATACATTTAATAAATTAAAAATATTTTTGCGTTTGTTTAGTGGGTGACTGACTGACCTCTCTGACTTGAATATGAAATTTTATTGGCTATATCTAATGTTGTCTTAGTAATTGTATTTGCTCATAGTATGTCATTAAGGATATTGGTTCTTAATTGTAGATGTTGATGCCACTTGCAGTGACTTTGATTTTGGAACTGCCTTGCATATTGCTGCCTTCAATTTATGTACTGGAGCTGTAAAGTGTCTATTGGAAAATGGTGCTAACCCTGCTTTTAGGGTGAGATGTTGATTTTGTCAAATATTTGTTTTATCTGGCTGAATCTGAATTACAATGATTGTTTAAAAATGCAGTTTAGTTTTATATTGGAAACATCAAAAATGCACAGGAAAATATATGTAAATTATATTTGTACTTCAGTTTATTTTTAGATCTTTTTGTAAATTATTTGAAATTTGTTTACCCTGGCAATGTAAGTTTAGGATTAGTTGTGTTTGATGATGATGATGGCATATTTAGTTATATAATAGGTGTTAATGTATTAATAGCTCTGTTTTGATTTGGATCAATACTGTGTGTGAATTTACTCCCTTGTTTTGGTGATTATTGTTCCACAGAATGACAAAGGGCAGACACCTGCTGATGTGGTTCCTGATCCAGTAGATATGCCATTGGAAATGGCTGATGCAGCAGCTAGCGCTAAAGAAATCAAACAGATGCTTATAGATGCAGTACCTCTGGTTTGCGACCTTTCCAATATAATGCTTCCAAATTATGATAATGTCACTGGAAAAGACCCGCTTGAATCCCTTGGTCTAAAACTGGGAGATCGAGTTGTCATTGCAGGACAGAAGGTATGGTTAATAAGCAAATTGTGAAAGAAAAATTAACTGGATTGAAAATGTTTCTGGATTTATATGTTGGGCTGTTAATCACAATGAGCTAAATGATTCTCCTGGTAGCTCTGTCACATCAGCTAGTAAAATTTAATTTTTTTAAAGGAGATCTGTAACTGGCTTACTTGGATACACTATGTAAAAATTATATCATCCCTGCCCACCTGAATAATATGCACGTGTTCTCTGTCGTAAAGTAGCAAACATGGTACCAGGTTGATTGCAAGTTTCATAAAACTGTGCTATACTTTGCACTTTAAAATGCATGTTGCAAAGTTTTATCGATCCATATGTTGCTTCCACAGTATTTTATTAATTTTAACTTTTAATGAAATATAAATTGTGCTTCGTTACCTTTAAAAAGAATTGATGCAAATATATTTTGGAAAGCAAACAACTTTGAACAGAAATTCAGTATCTGGAACTTCATAGAACTGTCACATTTCTGATGTGTTAGAAGATTAGATATCTGATAGCTACCCTAGTTGTTATTTCTAGACACTGCTCAAAGCAAATTCTTAGTTTTAATGTAAAATGTAACATGCAAAGCACAATGGTTCCAATAAAAGTTTTGAAACAAGCTAAATTTTTAAGCAGAACTGATTTAAAACTTCAATTTTTTGAATAAATAATATAATAGGAAGTTTTGGTTAAATGTTATATTATAATTTAGCATGTTTGATAGTAATGCAATTGTATTTAGTGACCAACAAATAATTTGAAATTAATAGTTTGTGTGTTAAAATTTCGTATAAATATGCTGAGCCAAATTTAGCATTTTGAGAATTTTGCTTCAAACATAAAAAATTATTTTGGCAATGGTTTGCTCTCTAAGCTTGTTTCAATTTAGTTTCTGAAAGTTTCATTATCAGACAAGGTAACATCATCAGTAGGTTTCTTGTCTTATTCTTATAAATAAACTGACCAATGTGGTCAGTTGGTCATGGGATTGGTTGTTCATTTAGAGCTATATTTAAATTCTGAGCAGCTGATTGGTTCTCTTGTTGAATGGTTGTTCAAACGGTGTGGTTTCTTACATATTCATATGCTGGATCTAGATGAATATGCTTGTTAATTGCTCCTTTAGTAGAATACCAGGCGTCAATAAATTCACAAGTATAGCGAGTGTTGGCATGGTCAATTGTTTTTGTTCTTCCCAATGAATTGATGATGTTTATCAATATAGTTTGAGATGTGTGCATGTGTATAATATTTTTAGATATTGTATGTATTGAGTTATAGAATCATAAAACTGGAAGAGTTTAACTTTATCTGCACAAAAACATAATAATAAAATGCATGATGATATAAACACTAGGAATTAAAAACAGCACAGCAAAGTGTTTGCATTTGTTATACCTGTTTAATATTAAAACAATTAATTAAAATGTGGGAGAGTAAAAACATATTTCTTGCTTGCTGAGAAGACAATATTGTTGGCTCCATGCCTAGGGAAGTTAGCCCAGAGTTGGGGAAGAACCACTGAAAAAGCCAGTTCATAAGTCCCACTTACAACCCTCTGTATTTATTTATTTAGTCTGCCTATATCCTGAATTTCTGTCTATATAAATATGATAATTAAGATATAAATAGGACACAAGCTGGAAGAGACATTATTTCAATTACTGTAATTGCAAGCTCTGAAAGGCTTTTCTAAGTGAAGAGCTTTCTAGAATTAAAAATGAATTTGAGAGCCAGTAAAGATTGTATACAATGATTGTATACTATGTTCATTATACTTAAATCCAGTCAGTACTCTCACTGTAGTAATTAACTGAAGTTTCTGAACTGTCTTCAAGGATAGTTTCGTGTATGAATGCATTCAGATAATCAAACCAACAAATTACAGGATGTGGATTGAGGTAGCAAGCTCTGTCCGAACGGGTTTGTAATGGGTACGCAATATAAAGTAAGAAGAAATTGTGTTCCACTGAGGATACTTGCGCCTCTAGTTCATAGTTAGATATTATGGCAAATACATTTTTTTCTCCTCAAAGTGTCTAAACAGATATTAGCTTGTTCTGAACCAGATTCCAGAAGACTGAATCATTTGGAAAGACTTTAATGGACATCATTGAGAGGACTTAGTAGTGGTGGAGAAGAAATTGCTTCATCATCATTGCCATTAAATGGATCAATATTAATTTTCTGCCATCTGTGTTTTAGTTGTCTTCTTTTATAGTCTTCAGCTGGAATATGTAATAAGCCTAAATGGGGTGCTGCATAATGGTAGAGGATATCCAGAAGTGATCATGTGAACTACCCAAGTCATGTTAAGCAAAGGGTTAACTAAGGTTTTAAAAAGAGCATCTATCACTATTCTACCCTTTTGTAGAATCCATCATAAACCATTATTTTTCAGTTTGGACAATTCTAATTAGTACTTCAGTTCTTCAGAGAGGAAGTTATTGCAAGTATAAATTAGAAATGTTCTCACCATGACAAAGAACAGATTTAAATTCCCCTGGTTCAGACCATTGTTCTGTTCAATAGATCTAAGCATCTATTACCTGGGTTAAACAATGATAAGTTGGGCAGAACCGTGTTCATTATGGCTATCGCAAAATCTTGAGGAACTGCAATCATGGCTGTCCTGGATAATGAATTCCTCTAGAACTGTTATTCTGGAAGGCCTTGGGACCAAGTCCAAAACCAAAACCATCTCTGTCAGTTGGGGAGAGTGCTGAGTAGAAAGGAGATGGTTCTGTGACACAAATCCTGTACTATTCTTAGTGCACAATATTCAGTCAAATATTCTAGATTGGCTCTGCATAGGCAGCAAGTCTAAAACAAGAAGAATATTTCTTTATCCTTTAATTGCTCCCTCTTCTCATCTCTGATCTGTTTTGGAGCTGCAATAAGGACTAAGACTTTCCCACATATGTGCACGGCAGCTCTCTGATCCAAGTTAAAATGGTACAAACCAAATGGAACCTCATAAGCAAATAACCAATGAGATAAATCTTATTCACTGATCCACCATTTAAGAATTGTACCTGCACTGCAGGCCAGGGGATGAGGCAGTATGGTTACCATACTTGTCTGAATGGGAAGAACCAGCATCTCTGTAAAAAAAATCAGGTGTTCGGTTCCTTTCTTTGTTTGTTAATTCCAAGAGCTACACTTCCCTGGACCCATAATAGCTCTTAGTTGGGGTCCTCCTCCCTTCTATGGCATTAGGTGAAGACTATCTCAGATTCATAAAACTAGGCAGCAGAGGAGAAAATAAAAGTGGCATTTAACCTCAAAGAGGCTTTCTGCACATTGCACTGTCAGTTCTGCAGAAGTCAATCGACCACCTGCTTTGGGCCTGGAAAAGATACTTCACTTGCTGTTTCAGAGCCCTTCAACAGCCTAGTAATTACTGCACAGCCTTCAGGAGGATGAAACTGTATTCACTTGGGCTTTAAAATGAAAGTTGCTCTTGGAATAGCTGCTGGTTGAAGGAAATGGAGCACGGAGAGATTCCCACTTGAAGGCTTTTCTTAAGAAAGTTAGGAGCACTTGCAGACAGGCCAAAGGAAAATAAATGGCGCTTTCATTTTAAATTTTGGAATTGAGAGAAGAGTAGCACAGAAACAACTCTTTTGCCTTGTTACACTTCTTTTTCTCTTTACCGCATTTTGACACAAGCTTTAAACATAATGGATGTAGGTAAGCTTTAAAATCAAGAGGATAATGCAAGCAGGGGGTGGAAGGAATAGAAATAAAGCCAGAAGGAACATCTTGGTGAGCATGCCTTGGAATAACAGTGAAAAAAGCAGAAAAGGAAATTAAAGAACAGAGGGACAAGAAGGAAGAAAATATGGAAGCGCACTTGTCCTTTTCTAAATCCCAAATTAGCCATGAGTAAAACAAGAGAATATGAGAAGAGGCTCTTGTTCTTAGAGCTGTAATAGAATAAAACAATATAGATGTATAAAATGTGAGGCATAAAATATAAAAGACAAAAAAATAAAAGAATCCCATAATATTTTCTAGTCTCTGCTTAAGAACTGCCAAAAATAATAAAATAAAATAAAATACCCTACCATCCCTCCGGTGATGGTTTTATTGTCATACCACACTTCCTTTCAAGAAGTTTCTCCTGTTCAAAAGGAAATCTATCAGCATGATGTGTGGAAGAGCTCATATATAAGCCTTCAGTTCCTGTGTTGGAGTGAAGAACTATTGAGAATAACACATTCTATGTTTCAATTTTTTAATATAATATTCTGTTATCACTTTCAGCTGTTGTCACTTCAACTTTCAACTTAGTTGAAATATTTTTTTTTCCAGATTGGCATATTACGATTTTGTGGCATGACAGAATTTGCAAGTGGGCAGTGGGCTGGTATAGAATTGGATGAACCTGATGGCAAAAATAATGGTACTGTTGGAAAAGTACAGTACTTCAAGTGTGCTCCAAAACATGGTATTGTTTTTAATTTTTAAACTTCTTCATATTTCTCTCATATTAAGCCATTTTTTAAAATTTCTCTAATACTATTTGAGTCTATCATTGAAAATTATCCAACTAAGCACTTAAATAGTTATTGATATTTTCTTACTTTGCATGCCAGTGTTGTAATTCAGACTGATATTTCTTATTCCTCTTTCCAATACTGTTATGTACTTTGATTACCTGTGATATACCTGAATTTATGTAGGTTAGCTAAAATTGATATTTAATAAATTATTGTATTTGCCTACATTCTGCCTTGGGAAGTGGCAAGCAGCTCTAGAACTGGTGTGGCTCAGGGGCTTCTTGGGGCTCTGTGGGTCTGTGGATGCAAGAATCCCCTGAGCTGCACCAATTCACCGGTTGCACCGGTTGCACCGGTTGTAACCGCTTCCAGCAATCACCAGCAACTGGCGCAACAGTCCGCTAGCAAATATTTGTTTGCCCAGAAACCTTCTGTCCCAGTTCCCCACACCAACCTTTCACTTTTTGCTCCCAGCTGCAGCTAGAGTACAAGCGCCTTGCTTCCTTTGCTGTCTCTTTTCAGACCTGCAATCACCATGCCACCCCAGCTGCTCCAGCTTCTCCCGCAAATGCTTCCTAAATATCCCCCCACCCCAACCCAGTCCTGCAGTGCAGTGCAAATTAGAATGCCAGTCAATGGGGAAGGCTGCAAGTGGTTTCCTCCAATGGGAAGGCACCAGGCTTTGGTTTAGGATTGGCTCACACTTCCTACATGTGGCTCCCAGCCTCACAACAGCTGAATGCAAAATATGAAAGGTTGGTTTGGGAAACTGGGAGAGAAGGTAGCTGGTTGAATGAATGCTTGCTGGAGCTTCCTAGGTGTTTCATCTTGGCACCATACTGTTGGGCCGGGATGGGAAAGCTGCAGCCCAGAACTACCACATGGCAAGCAGCCCCAGAGCTGTGTATTTCTGGAGCTGCTTGCCATCCCACTAGGCAGGGTACGGGGCAGCCAGAAGAGCAGAGATGTGGTGGGGTGGATATAGGCAAGTGAGGAGAGTTGGAGGCAGTCTCTTATCTTATTGAGGCACGTGACTGGAAGGAACCAAGTCCAGAATGGCTTGGCTTGAGGTAGGTCCTCTGCTAAGAACCACTGGAGTTTGTTTAACAACGGTAACGAGGAGTGTTGGGATTTCCTTGCTAAGTGATGGAGTCATATGTTATCTTGCTTTACTACCATATTGTTTAGAGATGGAAATTCCAATCTAAGTTGCGGTCATAAATCAAAGACTATTTGCAATGTTTTATTTGATTGGCTCTTGCCTTATATTGCTTTCAAGTTTTCTTTACACATGAAACCTTATAATTTCTTTAAATGTACTGTGCAAACCTCTTTTTAAAAAAAGGATTGTACCTTATCATGTATCTTTTCTTCTAGGTATCTTTGCACCACTCTCTAAAATAAGTAAAATTTCTGGACACAAAAAAGGTACAAAAACTGCTTCTTCACGACCTTTGCCTATAATCAGATCCAAGAAAATTGATGTAACCCACATAACCTCTAAAGTGAATTCTGGTAAGCATGTGGACATTTTATTTTGAAGTAAAAGAACGCTTCAGGAAGTATAACAATTTACAGACTAAAATCAAAATTCATGGTTTGTAAGTAGCCTTTGTTTTTCAGAGACTTAAGCAATAAAAGGTATTATAATGTTAGGTTGGCAAAGATTAATTAGGAACAAATTCAACATGCATTGAAATTCAGGACTAATGTGTGTTTTCTCCCATTGTAATTATTTTGCTTTCTTGGCATATTTAACAGACATTACCTATCTGTAACTGTCTTAGGATTTAGATTAGAGTCTTTCCCAACCCTAAAGCTCAAAACTTTTCATGCAAAATATGTGCTCAATACACTGGACAAGTTCTCTGATCTTTTCTTTGTATTCTGGATTCTTTTTCCTGAATTTCTTTTAGGAATTTTCATTTTCTTTTAAAAATTTAAAGCATGTTTTTAATATTCAATTATGTACATTTTTAGAGGTGAAATATTTTTAGAGCAATGAAATATTGCTAAGCATTGTTATTTTGTTTGCATGGAAGGTTGTATACTTTAGACAATATTCTTTTGGCAAATAATTGATTATATTGTACAATGCTTTTACATTCCTGTTTAAAAATAGGCTTGGGTATTTTAAATGTGTTTTGTGCTAGCTTATACAAATGACAGCTTACAACTGATATAATGTAAAAGAGCTTTGCTTAAAAGCTCCCATAGTTTATTTAAAAGCAGACCCATCTGTTTATGTACTACTAAAACACTTGTTCCCATAACTTTTAACTGGGCAATATAGTCATATCACAACAGTTTTTGGACCAAGGTACCTCAAACCAGTAACTCACAGAAATCTAGGACATGACTCTCATACAATTGAAATTTGGTGAATTTTATAAAACGTAATATAATAAAAGTATCTTTAAAAATCTCATGTGATCAACTCCTGATATTTGACTGAGCTATACAGATCAACATGAGCTATTTTCAAGGCAGATATTTTTCTGAATATCTATTTGAAGTTTTAAGAACTTTTCAAGTGTATTAGAAGCTCTGCCATTTGTGAAGGCATTGAGGAATCTGGTAAGGCAGTATCTCTGAAATGTTTACCCAAGGGTCATGGATTGTCTAGTTCAGCGGTCACCAACTGGTAGGCCGCAGCCTACTGGTGGTTGGTGAGAAAATTTTGGTGATCTGCAGAGAAATGTCACCCCCAGAACACCCCCCCAAGCAATTAATCCAGGCTGCACAGGAACACAAGGCTGCGCCACCCACGTGACCCACTGGAACTCTCCCCGCCCACTCACTCTTTACCTGACAAACTTGCCTGCTAAATTGCTACTTTTCCTTTTTCTGACCATCAGCTGTTCTGCTGTGCCAGGAGATTTAAATTAGCTAGAAAGCAGGAAATCGTTGGATTTCCTGCTTTCTAGCTAATCCTTAGATGAGCCAAATCTTCCTTAGGACTGAAGCAGTGCATACTGAGCTAGCCGATGGCAGAAACACAGATCTCTATGTGAATCTGTGATTCTGTGAGCAACTCAATCTGCCTGCCTGCTTTGGAGTAAAAGTTGCTCTTTTTGAAATAAAAAAATTCAAAATTTACATATATGGTGTGTGAGTTAATTTGCTCAAATTTTATGGGTTTGCTTGCAAGCAAATTTTATGTGACAGACTGAGCTAGCCGATGGCAGAAAGATAGATCTCTGAACGAATCTGTGATTATGTGAGCAACTCAATCTGCCTGCCGGCTTTGTCTGCTTTGGGGTAAAAGTTGCTCTTTTTTAAGAGCAATATTTATATAAATATTTATAATACTTACATACAAGCCATGCCCAGCCAGTTACATGACCACTAAGCCACAATCACAAATTATGCCACACCCACAGAACTGGTTAGTGATCCCCTGTATATAAAATTATGATTTTGGTGGTCCCTGAGGTCCAAAAGGTTGGCAAACCCTGGTCCAGTCGCTACTGTATCTCTGAGATCTCTTCAACTGAAAATTGAAGAAGGCATGTTGATAAAATATTGATTTTTATTGGCTTGTGAAATGCAAGAAAGGCCTTCATGCACTTATAGATGAGTTTACTTACTTCCAATATTCCATTATACATTAGAGGAAAATAGAGGATTTGTATAAATATCTGTTTACATGTTTAATTGTTATATATACAAAGATGTTTGGATGTGTTATTTAGACTATGGTGGCTTCATAGGTTTGGTTTGACTTACAGGTTTATCAAGAAAAGATGGTACTTCCAATTCCACATTTGTAGGCAGTGAAGAAGTAAAGAAAACTGTGTCAGGTAAACAAGGTAATGTGTCTTCCAGATATTTTTGGCTGTCATATTTGGTCTGGATGAGGGAAATCTATAATGATACTGTATTACTAATTTTAGATAAAGTTCTCCATACCGTGAAAATCTTGTTTGCTTATGCCAGGATATATAATTCTTTTTCAGTGACACTTATTTATATATAGGAGTGCTTGGCTTGAAACCTAATGAGGTAAAACAGAGAATAATAATTCATCGTTATTTCAGTCATAAACTGCTTTTGCATCAAATAGATTCCAATGCATGTGGAGGAAGAGTGTTCAGAGGTCAGTAACGTGTTGGATCTTAGTTGGTCCACTGGAGGGTTATCTTGTCCCAACCAGCTGCTGAGCTTTATGCTTCTGTGCCTATTTCTGTTTAGCTGTAGAGAGAAGAGCCAAAGCAAAGCTAATTTATTTTTAGCTTATTAGGTGAAGGAAGTATTGACTTTGTAGAAGACCAAATTTCATTTTTCCCATTGTTAAGCTCCTAGCAAAGATGTGCTGGAAAAGTGGCCAATGGGTTTAGAGAGTCCTCCACTCTGGGTAGTTCCTTAATCCTTGTTAAGCTATACTTTCTAAATTACGTAGGTGCTATTAATCCAAACTCCCCCAGAAGCTGGGAAGAGCACGCATAGTTTCATTGGTTGAACTACATGGTTGCTGCTCTATTTGCCCACAGGGAGAGGAAAGATGGGAGGTGATGATGGAAGTGGAGCTGGATGTGGGCTGTCTGCACATGGGCAGAGATGAATGTAATGTTTCAAGGAAGAACAGGTTGCCTACTGCTTAGTCCTGAGTCTACCTTCTGATACTTTGGCTGAGAGGCTGCAAGTCATGTCTAGGAGCCTTTGCCCATTCTTCTCATTCTGTGATTCAAATACTGGGCTAAGACTGCACTGGCCTCTTACCAGAGAGCTTGCTGCAGATTACAGCTGCTTCACTCACCCGCAGCAGCAATTGCTATCTTCATGCGAGGGCAGTAACTTTACTGACCTTATTCCCAAGGCAGTGCAAAAGAGAAGCAATGGTTTTCAAAATGGAATACTTTAGTTTTGCCTCAGAAAAGTGTAGGAGGAAAGGAGATCAATGAAGCTGTGAATAAGATTATTATTTGACAGTATAAATAATATTCCTAAGTGCACAGATAATTATAAGTAGTCACAGTGTTCATAAATAAGTGTATGCTATGGATCTCAAGGCAATCCATAAAACTTATGCAGTGAAATGCAACAAAATAGATACATTGATAAAATATAAATAAATCTGAATAAATTCACTATGTTAAATCAAACAGGGGAATAAATTAAACCCTACAGAGAAATGAACTGAATATTTTAAAAAGGAGGAAACGTGAGTTTTACATAGTTAACATATACACTTTTGCCATCACTGATGGAGTGCTAAACTTTATAGCTCTGTCAGATTTCTTCCTCATTGGGAGACAAAAAGGGTTACACTTTCAGGCTCTCCATATTTCATTATTTTAATGTTTCTGAAATTATCCTTATAATATACCTTTTTAACACCAAGACAGCAGCACTTATTAAGGCCTAATGGAATGGAATGGGATGCGACTGGTAAAATACTTGGTGATTTGAGCTCTCTGTTGTTGGAAATGCTCCATCCCTTTTATTGCACTTTTATTTCATCATGTTCTACATTGTTCATGAAATAGGGCATTTTCTTGTAAAGATTGTGAACCTTGCTGAAGATCTCAGGATGTTTGGCAAAATACTAGTTCAAAGTTCTAATTTCATATAGATTGCGATTTAAAAGTAAATACTGCAAGGGTACAAGCTACAAGGAGCTGCAGCTACTTGAAAGCTCTTTGTGATGTTTTCCATATTTGATACTTGTACATTTTAAAGCCCATATTCTGTTTGTAACTAAAAGAAAAACTTGCATTATCTCCAGGTCTATGGATGAATTACCTCAGGCCTAATCATAAAAATCCTTAGTGTCAGGTGAAAAACGCCAGAAGGGGAAGTTATAAAAAGAAGAGACAGATACACATAAATCTTGATAAGGAGCTTGTACATCAACATTTCACAAATTGAAATGAAAGTGATTTACCTTCCAATCTTACTTTATAGACAGAATTTTAATATTAATACGGTGCATAACAGCATGCTGTAGGCACTAGTCCATGCACTTCATAATTCATCTACAAAATGTCATTCCCCCTGTTTCTCATCAAAGATTTAATAGACTAGCTATCAAAAGCAAAGAACCGAGATTTTTTATTACTTAAGGCTGTATTATTTTTACATTTATGCTCTAGGCTTAACAAGTATTACATAGTAGTAACATAGACTTGAAAAACTAAGTGGTGTCCATCATGATCAGTTAATTTTATGCTCACAAGGAATGAAAAATGTGACAAATTGACATTTCTTTCATGTGTTTATGTGTTTTCTAACTGAATAACTTTGCTTTATTATTTTTAGCAAATTACCTTGGTTCCAGTAGCTCTTCATCATCAACTATATCATTAGACAGCAAGCTGAATTGTCCCAAGAAATGTAATTCTGCAAGTAAGAAGAAGAAGGAAAACTTGAAAGACCACCCAAATTCATCCAAATCTATGGCTGGTATAATTTCTGCTTAATTATTTGTTGTAATAAACCATTATAATGATAGAGATATGGCAAGTTTTCATATCTAAAGCAGCTGTTAAAATCTGTAATGCTTGAGATCTTCCAAGTGATTTTTTTTTGTTCCTGGAAGTGTGAATGAAGTGGCAAGAGAATATTTGGTAAGTGCAGTTGACCTCACACTACTAGCCCAGCTATGGACCTTATGCAAATTCTGTGTAAACTTCATTTATCTAGTTTATACTTAATAGGAAAAAAAGCAATTTCCCCAAATTTTCTTATGTTCTCCCAGTATCAGAGAATGCTCCAATTGTGGTCTCTGAAATTGTTTAGATTTCACATATTTGAAAGTCTCTTGTATAGTACCAATCTTAATTTCTTATATTTGTAGGTAATTGTCTTTTCTAAATTTAAAAATCATACAGATATAATACATTAGATCTTATACTGTAATTCTGTTTAATTCTGAACATAATTGACTGTGATGAGCCTATATGTGAATAATGAGTTCATAGGTATTTTCTTATTTTATGTAATTTGTATATCTCTTGCATTTTGTGAACCCAATGAACACAGAAGGAGATAATATTTTTCTATCTGGAAAGAAAAAAATATTTGATGAAGGAGAAATTCAGATTGGAGAAAAAGTACTGGTGGGACAAAGAACTGGAATAGTTAGATTTTATGGGACAACCAAGTTTGCGCCAGGTAACTTTACTGTTTATCACATGTTTGCCTTTCATTTGCCATTAAAGTATGTAATGTGATTTCCATAAGAAACAATATACAATATCAATTAAATATTTACAGTTAATAAAATAATAGATTTACAGTAAAAAACCAGTAGCAATTACACTAAACATCAATTGTAAAATTTAGTTTATTAATCAGCTAATTGTGGTATAAAGTAAGCTACTACCTAAATAAATTATTAATGGGTAACTTCTGAAGAAAATATTCTGCTACAAATACATTAGAGTAGAATCAACTTTTGTTTTCTTATTGGAAATAATGAAGGAATTTTTCTGAGCATTTAAATTGTGTCCAGAAATATATCAGGATGAGACACGTAGAGATACATGGGACAGAACCTAACTGAATAAAATGGTTTAATGTTCTAATTTTTAAATCTTTCAAAAATAGTTTTTCATGCACATTGTACACTGAAGTAACTTAATTTGTATATTTCTGGAATATACAATATTCAGCAAGATTGTCTTGCTGAAAAGTCCTGAACCTCTTGAAAAAAAAGTAACATCCTATTGGCCAAACTATATATACTAATAAGGTACTTTGTATGCAGTATTTTAGTGATAGGCATCTTGTCTAGTAAGTTAAAAAATCATTTTAATTTTGTGTTGAGTGTAAATTACTGGTTTTATAGGTAGCAGAACATTTAGCTCCCTGCTTATTTTATTTTGAAAAATCCCATGTAATGTTAAGTTAAAATGCTATCAGTCATCATGGTTGATAAATGGTTTTGTCATCTGGAATTCTGACTCTTAGCTTGGTTAGCTATTTATTGTTATCTTTTTTATGTTGTTTTGGATAGTTCTTCTTGGGATTTTAATTAGGCCTTGGAGATTTTCACTTGTTTTATATTCTACATAAACTGCTATTTGGTTACAAACAAGGAAGAGATGAATGAATAAACAAATTGACTTCTATCTTTTTAATAGATGAAAGAGCATATTGAAAGTGTAGATAGGGTAAAGAGTCTGTTCGTTATCAGAGTCTATTCTCTATCTACTTTACCAGAGTAGATAACAGAACACCTAGAGACATTATGCTTTCACCTGATTGGTTGCATGTTGGAAAAATTAATAGAAAAAAAATGACTCTTCTGAGTTTTACAAAAAGGCTGAAGAAGTCAAGTTGCTAGTCAACAACAATAATTGAGCATGTCTTCTCTTTTTTCAAAAGATTGTATTTTACTTTAGCTGAGAGAATTTAAAGTACAGTTTCCTAAAACTTACTTAAATGCATACTTACTGATAAACTTACAGATGCCACTATTGCCTCTGAAGCACTGATTGTTCCTCTAAATTGAAGACTCTGATTTTAAAGCTTTATTGTTCTTCCCTAGGTTGAATTACAATGTTTAGCAATTGATATTATACTCTCCTCTCCTTATTCCATCAGCTTTTTTGTATATGTAATGGAGTCAAATGCTTAAAATACAAGCTGAAACAAATTTTGAGGGAACACTATTGTCTTGATAGTTTACTGAAGCTGATTTATTTATTTGAAACAGCTTTTCCCCTCCCTTAGTTCTGCAGATTCAAGATGTGAGGCACATTTCTTTTCAAATGAAACTCTTTTTATCAGTTGAAAAATAATACCCTGCTTGAAAAAAATTGTATTTTTTGTTGCAGGGCTTTGGTATGGCATAGAACTGGATAAACCTCGTGGCAAGAATGATGGCTCAGTTGCAGGCATACAGTACTTCAGATGCCCCCCCAGATATGGTGTTTTTGCACCACCATCTAGAGTACAAAAGTAAGTGTCAAAAACTGTGGTTGCAGCATCAACTATTTTTATTGTATTACTTTCATTCAACCTTTTCTGGTTGGAAAGAAGCCTAGGTCAGTGTCACTCTTGCCAAGCTGTAGGTCCTTGGTGCTTTCTGAGCTTGGTGTTGCAGAGGTTTCATTACCAAACTAGGTAATATCAGTGCAATATTCTCTTCTATCAAATTTTGATTACCCCTGTTCTGATACAAGCTTGGCCAAAGAAACTAATAAATCTTCAAGATTAATATGAGACAATCAATAGAGTTGAGTTGTATTTTCAGTTTTTAAAATAAAAGTAGTTGCACCTGATGTTAGTTTATGAAATCTCATAATTGAAAGAAAGATTTCTGAAATCTTCCTTTAACTTCTAGTGCCATATAAAGCAGACTGAAATGATTGATGGGGATGCTTGAAGGGCCAGGTTGGAAACAGGTCTATCTATGTGGGCATTCAGAGCTGACAACACTTTGATGGCACTTTGGTTACTATTAACTACATTATGATGTAGCCTAGCAGACAGTACTCAGTGTTGTGAATGTGAAAGACTTTGAGGTGGCATGGAGAGTAGAAAAGAAAATATCATGGTGGGAAAATAAGGGGAAATAGTGGTAAATGAGGCTAAAACACGGTTAGGTTGAGGAGTATCTTGGTGAACATACAGTGGAAAATTGAAATTAACACTGACACAGATGGAATAAAAGAATGACATGGATTCAGCAGAAACAGTAGATTCTTTACAGAGAAAAAAAGAGAATAAAGATGCACCAATTAAAAAAGTTTGTGTTGGCTGTTAGCTAGACAAGAAGTTGGATCGGATCCATGATTATCTTCTACTAGTGTCAGAAATTTTGTGTCTGAGTTACATATTTTCCACATCTTGGAATTGAGATTTTCCTAGCTGTAGTTGCTGTTTGGGGATTCATAGCTACTTAACTACAAGAGGTGAAAAACAGAATTCTGATACAGGGCTCCTAAAAGCTGATTTACAGGATACATACTTTGCTGCTGCTGCACATGCTGCTGCAGAGTATTTGATCCCTGAAATGCTTTATTCATTAGGGAGCTTTAATAGATATTTATTCTGTCCCTCTTGCATCTGGGGAATGAGAAGAATGGGGATAGTGTGAATCATGGGGAAAATTATTTATCTCTTCTAAAGACCATTTCCAGTTGAGCCTTCCATTACCAGTTTTTCTCAGTGACGTCCCAGCACTTCATTCTTGATTGTGTTCAATCAGTTTTTTTCAACTAGTAAAAGGATCTTGATTCAGGATTATGAGTACTTAGGGCAAATCCATCTTCAGGGCATTATAGATAGTCCTTGACTTACAACAGTTTGTTTAGTGACCGTTCAAAATTACAACGGTACTGAAAAATGTGATTTATGATCATTTTTCACAGTTACAACCTTTGCAGCACCCCCAGGATCATGTGATCAAAATTCAGATGCTTGGCAGCTGGTTCCTATTTATGACCGTTGCTGTGTCCCAAGGTCATGTCATCACCTTTTGCAGCTTTCTGACAAAGAAAGTCAATGGGGAAGCCAGATTCACTTATTAACTGGCTTACCAACTTATCATTTGCAGTGATTCACTTAACAGCTGTGATAAGAAAGGCAAGAAAATGGGGCAAAACTAACTTGACAAATGTCTCACTTAACAACAAAAAAATTGGGCTCAATTATGGTGGTAAGTCTCAGGAAGATTGTATTCTGATTTCAGAAAATTCAGTCTGTAGTATGTTGCTATATGCTGAAGGATGTTTACCAGTGGTAGAATAAAGGAAGAATTACACTGCTTTTATTTTTCTTTTGTTATTTTGAGTGAGAAAAAAAAATACACGATTTCATTTGCAGGTTAACAGGATCACTAGAATCTCTCACAGATACTTCAAGTAAAATGAATCATTCTTTCCCTGGTAAGAATACAACATGAATCTGTTTTTGTTTTCTATTACCTAGGCAAGTTACAGAAATTGTAGTTTCTTGAAGATGATATATTTGCTGTAGATGAGGTAAAGTGGGAATGAATTGGGAAATATAAGTTTTACATGCTTTTTCTTTTTCTTTTTTAATGCATTTCTGGATTGAAATATGTTTTTTTTAAGAAGAGTGGATTTTTTTGTGAGATTCCAGAGATCTTTTGATTATATTCCTAGATTCTAGAGATCTACAGACATATTTCTTTGTGAACTACAGTTAAAAGCTTAAATGTTGAATGTATATCATATCTTACATATTTTTGTATAAAATCCAAAGTGTGAGGCTTTATTATTAGTATTCTAATATTAATATTAGATCTGAGTTAGTATTCTAATTCTGGGGTTTCCATTGAAGATCAATCCAAAAGTGTCCATTAAGTATTTCAGTTCAAAGATTAAGTTTAAAGTTTCATGTTAGAAAAAAAACACAATTGTATTTTCAACAGAGACTGAATCATTAGGGATAGCAAATTAGAAATTAATTACTTAGAGTTTTTGTGTCCTATATTTTTTAATGTGCATATATCAGTATATTCATAAATATTTCCCGTAACTAGATTGGTTGTTAGGCATAGTGGCTGGGAATGTTGGAAGTGGAAGGGGCCATTTATGCTTTCAAAACCAATACCCAACTTAATAGAGAAATGCAAATTGAATCATCTGTGAAAGATGGCTGTCTAGTTTCCATTTTAATACACTGAGCAATTGAGACTTCACTTCTGCAAATTAGTTCTATTTTTGAATTGCTCTCATTTTCCCTTTAGCATTCAATTGGAATCTGCCTTCTTGCATCTCAAATTCATAAATCCATTTTCTTATACTTGGAAGCTGGATGAAGAACAATTATTTTGTTTTGACATATATTCAACTATTTTAAAGAATGCTATCATATCCTGCTTCATTCTTCTCAGGATTTAGTTAACCTAGTTTCTTAATTTCTATCCCTATATCATCTTCATTATTCTCTTCTGAATTTTTCTATGAATCCTTCTTAGAGTTTTCAGAATTAGACAGACTGCTTAAGCTGAAGTTTGTACTAACACAGACCATCATGGAATATGATAGCTCTTTCCAGTTTGTGCAGCACGTGAACTGATACCTTTCTCCATTTTGATGATGATTCATTGAGAAGTGCACTTTTGAACCAACCGTGTTATCATGTAATTGTGATGCTAACCAGCCCACAGTTGACATCTTGTTAATCAAAATATCACAGGAGAGGGGATTTTATTAAAATCTTTGTTGAAATTACACCTATATAATTGCAAAGTACTAAAGAAGTTACTACATCAAAAGATGACATGATAGCCTGATTGGGCTTGTTCTTGACAAGTCCATACTAACATCTGCTTCTTAGTGCATTATTTTCAAAGGGCCAATCTTTACAACTTGTTCTGTCTCTTCCCAGGCTTCAGTGTCAGACTGACCAGGTTGTAGTTCCTGGTTCTCTTTTTTTCCTTTTTTGGTAGATGGAGATTTAGTTCTTTTCTAGTTAACTGACACGTTACCAGTTCTCCAGTATTACTTACAGATAAATATTTGACCACATTGGTGGAGAGTTCTTTCATTACCCCAGAGGATGCAGCTACTGGTAATCTGGAGATTTAAACATACTAATAGAGAATAGATATTCCAAAGCCATATTTCCGTCATGTTGAAGCTTCCTCTCCGTGAAATGGTAAAAAATGATTCGGAGTAGATTTCCTTTCCTTTCCTTTGCTATTTGCTGTGTTTATCGAGCTGTTAGCATACTACTCCCCCCCTCCCAATTATTTGAGTTTATCTTAATAAACCATTTTAATTGCATTAGTATCTTTTGACAGCCACAATTTATTCTGAACTTTAGCTTTTTCAACATCCTGTCTACTGCTGCAGCTATTTATCAATTATCTTCTTGTGACCCATCCTGCTTTCTATTTTCCATATACAATCTTTGTTTACAGATCTTTGGTTTTTTGTGTAGCCTTCCTCATTGGCTGACCTCAATTTTTCTCATTATCCAAAATACTTGAAGATTCATAGTTACAAGACCATCATAGAAATCATTGCATGTTCAATTAAAAGCTTATTCTGCTTTTTTTCATTCAGGTTTCCAACGGAGTTTCAGTACAACCTCTGCAGCTTCACAAAAAGAGATAAACAGGAGAAATTTCTTTGTCAAGTAAGTGACTTTATAGAAGAAAGAGCAGAATTTATATATTCCTAATTTTCTGAGATTAGAAGACTCCTTTTACCTGAGAAGGCGTGCAACTTCATGATTAAGGAATCATTTTGATATATGCATGCAAATCCCATATCTATTTCTGAATGTCTGTAAGAAGAACAATGCCAATGATGTTCTGCATATCTATGAATTGTCATGCTGCAGTGGTTGATAATTGTTAAAAACAAGCAGTAATCTACTGTGAAATGAATAACTCAAGATGGTAAAAAAACCAGGTCCATATTAAAAATCATTGCCACATTCCTATCAGCTCATGCTAGACTAAAAGGCTAATATTTTCTAAACTCTTGCCTCTCTCATCTTCATACTTTGTGCTACTTTTTATTGTAACCTTGCTTAGACCACCCTGGAAGTAACATTATTTTATTGATTTTTTTATTTTAACATCCTTGTTAAAATATAGTGAGCGTATTTGTCACATGTTAAACTGATAGTTATTAGGATTGCAACAAGAGAGCAGTTTTTCTTCTTCTTATGCAGCCTCTTGGCATATTTAGCTCTTCCTCAGGTAATATGGGCATTGAGAGGAAAGGGTTATACTTGTAAAATCTTCTTGACTTTCAGTTTAATGTGAATGAGGAAGATTAATTAAAAGTTTTTTTCTTGCATAACACTGACAAAATAGAAATATAGTAAACTGATCAAAGAATAAGTCAAATGAATACATATATTGCTTTGAAAATTCAATTAGAATCAATTAGTAGAAAAGAGGTCCTTGGGCTTAATTTAACACATTGGGGGTTAATTCCCTTTTGCTGTGCAATGTTGTATGTTTTGTTTTACTTTTTAAAATTTTTTATTTGGAAATAAATGTTATTGCCTCTTTTTCTCTGTCCAGATCAAAAAATTCTTCTTTGCGTCGTAGTTGGAGCAACACTACTACTACAAGCACAGATGCCCCAGTGAAATTACATGAAGGCTCACAGGTCCTCCTGACCAGCTCCAGTGAGATGGGCACAATTCGCTACATTGGGCCCACCAATTTTGCTCCAGGCGTTTGGCTTGGCCTGGAACTTCGGAGTGCCAAGGGCAAGAATGATGGTTCTGTGGGCGACAAGCGATATTTCAGTTGCAAGCCAAAATATGGACTCTTGGTGCGTCCAAGTCGAGTAACTTATCGTGGGATTAATGGAGTGAAACTTGTTGATGACATCTGTTGAAGAATATTGTTTCACTTAAGATGAGGCTCTTACAGAAACATGAGGAAAACCTGACTTGCCTGCATGGAACCCTCTCTTTACCTAACATCCTAAAGCTTCGTGGCACTAAGATGTTCACAGTTTGGAAGTGTGCACAATGAGATCTTAGTAGCTTTCACTGTAAAACATTTCTTGCTTGAATACTTCTTGTATTAGAAACATCTTGGATATGAGCTGCTCTGTTACTCCAATAATAGCTATTATTCGAACTAACTCCATTGAGAGTTTAAGAGACAGGCTTTGTCTCTTCAAAATAAGTTTTTCATCCTGTATTTTAGTGAAGCTATAATGCATCAAGAGATCATACAGCTTGTTAAATAACTGTTTAAACTGCTTTCTCTAGAAAAAAAAACAGTAAGGTAGAAAAGCAAGGGGGAAAGAACTCTGGGAAGCTGTTAGCTTTAGACAGTTCCCTGGAAGCACAAATGATCAGTGGAAAGAAAACTCTGAAAAGCAGAATTTGCTTACTTGATATGACATGGAAGCTACAAAAAACGTATATTTTCAGTTTTCCAGCAAAAGCACTTTTAAACTCTCTCTGTGTGTACGTGCAAACACGCTTAAAGAATAGGTATGCCAGAAGCACTTTAAAAAAATAACCGCCTTTGGGACATTTAGTGTGCACTTTCATTTCCCCTGAAGTATTTTCTATGATCCTTTGGATAAACTGTTTGGTAAGTTAAGACTATAGACTGTAGCGTTGCACCAGTTATATGTGTCCCAAGTACTGTATCCAGAAGAGGTTAGGAGATCAAAAAGTATTAAGATCCTGGAGAAATATGTTCTTGGATATACAACCTCTCCTGCTTCAGAAAACATGCACTTCCTTGCTATGGCAGGTGGGAATGCAGTTACTTGGTGTCTAATAGTATTATCTTCAACTCTCCAGGATGATTTGATCATGATTGCCTTTCAGGAACTGAAATTGCAGAAACTCTGAATGTTTTGCTGTATTTTTAAGTGTTTCTTTGACTACCGCAGGCGCTAGGCTGTTTTACAGCCAATACATCAAGCCAGAGGAAAGTTCAGCTGAATAGAAGTTGACTACTTAGCCTGCAGACCAACAGAAGCCAACATAGATGCCAAAAAATTATGTGCAAATCTATAGTTTGCTACCTGCATTCAAAATACATTTTAAAAAAGTATTATAGACATTTTTGTTAGAAAAAGATGGTCACAGTATTGTGTGTTTGGTATATCTTTAAAAGAAATGTCAAACATCTTTAAGGCATTGGATAACATAATTCTAAAATGGCTTTACTTTAAGGAATTAATTGCAAAATAATAATATTGGAAAAACAAATGCTTTTAAGGATTTTGCTTTTGGCAAGATTTATTTAATCTATATAAAATGTTTATGATATTTTCAGCTTTGTTAGAAGAAATTTTCCTGATTTATATTTCTCATGATATAGCAGCACCTTTACTTTTATTAATGAATACTTTTGACTAAGGGAAATAGTTGATAATATGGCTATAAGCTTATTTTTAGTTGTAAGATCATGTAAAAAGTAGTTAATGAATTTAAGGAAGAAGTTGCACTTTGACGTTTGATATTTCCTAATCCAAAATTTGCTTTCTTAATAGTTAAATTTTATTTTGTTATTTATTTATATTGATAGGGTTATTACTAAGCATGGTTGTGCAAATCTTTTGAAAGACGTGTTTAGTATACATAGGAGTGTGTGCAAAGCTGCTCTCTTCTCTTTCCAAGGTTCCTCTTTTCAAGGCTCATGGAATTCATATGCTTTTTGAGGTTCAAGAGTTGTACATGTGTATGAAACAAGTTACTATATTAAGCATCATGAGGCCTAGGAAAAGAAGCATCTGCCTTAGAATTCCAATAGGGATGCTGCCACCAGTAATACAAAATAAAGTATAAGTTTTAAAATTCCATTTATGTCTGTAAAACCTGAAATTTCAGAGAAACTCAAGAGCAACAATGTAATCACTGATATGCTCCTTGGTGCTCATTAGGCAATTCACCCCACTTGAATTCAAAGATTCTTTTAGTCAAGCACAATAAATGGCAATCTAACATGCTATGAAACACCAGCCTCATACATTATCTGTATTTCCAACAGTGCCTTTGGGCTCCACAGAGATCCAGCCTAGTTCAGGGCCTCATTTGCCTTCAGGTAAAGTCTTCATCATGACCAGTCCCATGGTTGCATCTGTTTTATAATATTGCCCAAAACATTCTCTCGAAGTTCCATGTGTTCTCATCGAGCACCTCCCTCAATGAAAAACTTTGTTTTAATTGGTCTGTAGATATCTTGATGTTGAACATAAAAGTGTTTATACATTCCTTGTATACTGTATTTTTTGCATTATATTTCTCTTTCACCCTCTTCATATTTGACTAATGAAGCTTCCAAGGAAATGCTTAATATAATTAAAGAGTAAAAATGTATTGATACTTCTCGTTGCAACAGTTCTGTGATCAATTATTGGTGTATTTTTGCAATATTTACAGATTATCATTGTTATTTGTTACATTTATATCCCTCAATTATTATTGTTACTCTGGTGATTGTAATAGTAGTTTGCTTCAGTCACATTATTCAGTTTCACAGAATGTTAATGAGTGCAATTTTCTACATAATAACAAACTCTGCTGAGTTTAGTGTAGCTTATTCCCAGTTTAGTATAGGATTGCACTATATATTTTTAGACAAACTTATTACACAAAATTTTCTACATAATTGCTGTGCAAGTATACATACCTTGTACTAAGATGAACACTTTGGGGCAATAATTTGAAACAAGTACTTCAGACTTTAATGAGCAGCTGTAATTTTTCCCCCCAGACTTACACAGAACCCTGAAAAAGTTGACTTGCATTAATGAATAATAGAAAAGGCTTGAGCTTTTGCCAGACCTTAAGCATTTTTTCCAAATTAGTTTCAAAGCATATAAACAGTCCTGGTATGTATACTCAATGTAATGCAACAGTTATTTTGTAGTTTCATCAGATAAAATTATCAGAAGCCATGGCTTTATAATATAATATACTTTCCTTGGTTTATAACTTGGCTCAAATCTGAAGTAACTTTGTTATTACGTGTTTGATCCAAATTAGATTAAGTATAGTTTTTTATTTTCCAACTAATATCAAATCAGTGTCTGGGTACTAGGAAGCCAAATTAAATTAATAAAATGCATGCTAAAAACTTGAAAGAGTGAATCATGACCACAAAGTTAAATGTTGCCACTATAATACTTCTGAAAATAATTGCTAAGCCATTCAGAAAGAATTTTGGAAGACTAACAATGCCCACTGATTTCCATTGGGTTTACTCCTGATAATTCAATCCAGGATTGAAGATTTCATAATTCAGTTTGATATATAATTTCAGAAAAATAGAACCTGTTACATCAGAAACATTCAAACTGGAGTTTTGTGGGATCCCTTAGATATTTTGAGTATTCCTTGAAGCCATGTATTAATATTTTTGTTTGCTTGCTCTCAACTGACTCTTGACTCCTGGCAACTACACTTACAAATACATGCAACCTAGGCTAGTGGTTCTCAACCTTTTCTTCATCATGGACCCCCTTTAAATACCTTTTGTGGTCATGGACCATGTCCAGGGACCCCCAAAACTTAAGATTTAAATCGTAACATTTCTTCAAGCCTTCGCAGATCCCCTGTGATGACATCGTGGACCCCTAGGGGTCTTCAGACCACAAGTTGAGAACCAGTGGTCTAGGCAATATTTTTGGAAGTGTTTTAACGTTACTTTCTAGGTCTTAGAGAAAGTGAATGTTCCAAGGCTGTCAAGTCAACTTCCATGTGTAAATCTGGATAAAAACTCAGGTTTCCCAGCTCCTAGTCCAGCATTTTAACTTCTAGAGCAAACTCTCTAATCATAAGTAGTGTGGGGCTACTTTAGATATTCATATTTTACACTGTATCTGCAATAATTCCAATTGTTGAAAATAAATATAAAATTGAAACGTACAAGACTAAGCTGCCTTTGGGCATTCTGTGGAAATATACTGTATAAATGAATGAATGACATTAAAATATAACTTTACTTTCTAGATTGTAATTACTTTTGATGCCAAACAATGTTTGAATAGAATAGAATACTTTACTGGCCAAGTGTGACTGGACACACAAGGAATCAAGAATCATAACGTACACACTTAATGATAGTCATAGGGTACAATCAACAATCAAATCATACTAGGAAACAGTCAAGTGGGAGGAGATGGGTGATAAGGAGTGGTGAGAAGATTAACTAATACTAGTGTACACTTTGTAAATAGTTGAACAGTGTTGAGGGAATTATTTGCTTAGCAGAGTGATGGCTTTCGGGAAAAAAACTGTTCTTGTGTCTAGTTGTTCTGGTGTGCAGTGCTCTATAGCGTCATTTTGAGGGAAGGAGTTGAAACAGTTTATGTCTGGGATGTGAGGGGTCTGTAAACATTTTCACAGCCCTCTTTTTGACTCGTGCAGTATACAGGTCCTCAGTTGAAGGCACGTGGGTAGTAATTGTTTTTTCTGCAGTCCTAATTATCCTCTGAAGTCTGTGTCTGTCTTGTTGGGTTGCAGAACCAAACCAGACAGTTATAGAGGTGCAGATGATAGACTCAATAATTCCTCTGTAGAACTGTATCAGCAGCTCCTTGGGCAGTTTGAGCTTTCTGAGTTGGTGCAGAAAGAACACTCTTTGTTGTGCTTTTTTGATGTTTTTGATGTTAGGTGTCCATTTTAGGTCATGTGATATAGTAGAACCCAGAAATTTGAAGGTCTCTACTGTTGATACTGTGTTGTCTAGTATTGTAAAAGGTGGTAGTATAGGAGGGTTTCTTCTAAAGTCTACCACCATTTCTACAGTTTTGAGTGTGTTCAGTTCCAGATTGTTCTGGTTACACTATCAAGGCAAGTTGTATAACCTCCTGTCTGTATGCAGATTCATTGTTGTCTCGAATGAGACCAATCACTGTTGTGTCATCAGCAAACTTCAGTATTTTAACAGATGGATCGTTTGAGATGCAGTCAATGGTATATAGGGAGAAGTGGAGAAAGCACACAGCCTTGGGGGACCCCTGTGCTGATTGTACAGATATTGGATGTGATTCCGCCTAGCTTCACTTGCTGCTTCCTGTCTGTTAGGAAGCTTATGATCCACTTACAAGTGTGTTCAGGTACCACTAGTTGGTTTAATTTACTTAGAGGAGTGTCTGGAATGATGGTATTGAATGCTGAACTGAAGTCTACAAAGAGGACCCTTGCGTAGGTATTTGGAGATTCAAGGTGTTGTAGGAGGTAATGCAGAGCCATGTTAACAGCATCATCTGTCGATCTATTTGCTCGGTATGCAAACTGCATGGGATCTAACAGCGGATCCGTGATGGTTTTCAGGTAGGACAGCACAAGCCTTTCAAAGATTTTCATAACTACAGATGTTAGAGCAACTGGTCTGTAGTCATTCAGTTCCTTGATAGCTTCTTTGGCACTGGGATGATGGTAGAACGTTTGAAGCAGGAAGGAACATAGCACATCTCTAGTGATCTATTGAAGATTTGGGTGAAGATGGGGACCAATTGGTCAGCACAGACTTAAGCAAGAAGGAGTTATCTTGTCTGGCCTTTTCCTGGCTTCTGTCTGTGTAATAGATCTTGCACTTCTTTTTCTGTGATCACTAGAGGTTGTGAGCCCAATGGATTGGGGCCAGTTGTAGGAGGCTTGGCTGTTGTTGGTGTGTTTGAGAAGTGGGTTGTGGAGATAGGTGGCTGTAGTTTCTTTTCAAAGCTGCAGTAAAACACATCTGCTAGTTGTTGATTTCCTTTTGCTTGGGAAGGAGGTTTGCTGAAGCCAGTGATGTTTTTAAGTTTTCCACATGTTTGCTTGTTCAAATGGGGTAGTAAAGCACTGATAATTCAGGTCACTGATTGTAATACATGAAAGTACACTTGATCAAAACATTTCAGCAACTGTCAAAAATATCACATTTCAACAACAAAAAAATAGTCTGGTGTGATATTTGGTTAAACAGAAGTGACTACTTCACTTTTCCCCCTTGGAGAGTTAGTGTTTTTTTTAAAATCATCATTCAAATAATCGCCCACATTACCTTTGACTTCAATTCTGTTGGAATCATGTTAAGCTTAAGTGCAGCTTAGAAGGGAAAATGGTTCTACTATGACGGCCAAGTACTGTATTTCTCAACAAGAAATAATACTGCAATGAAAGAATGATCTGTCCATTATTCTAGTAAGTCTAAATAACAACTTTTCTTCTAGATTAAAACCAATTCACCGTGATGTGATGTTACCAGAGGTAAGGTTTTGCAAGTTTTTAAAAGTAGTATATTTAGAACAGTTGCCCTGTCCTATTTAAATGATTTTGTTTCTTTTCCTGATTCTTGGAGACTGCCTGGACAACTGCAGTTTTCTGGCAAGTTTTTTTTTCCAGAAGTGATTTGCCATTGCTCCCTTCCTAAAGCTGAGAGAAAACAACTGGCCCAAAGTCACCTTTTGTGCCTAGAACTTGCAGTCTCCCTGTTTCCAACCCAATTCCTTCACCACTGTGCCAAACTGGCTCTCATTTAAAACAATAGTTCCCCTTTAACCAGCAAAAATTGTAATTATTGCCCCTCAATAGTCTGAATTATTGCAAATCTAGTTCAATCAGACGTTTGCAATTTTGATCAATTTAGCATTTCTTAAATTAATAGCAAGCTTTCTATTCAAATTCTAATTTTCATTCCTTGTTAGAATTATTGTTAGGTATTTAACCATTGCCTGACTTTTATATACTGACCAAATGTATTTCATATTCCAGTAACAGGAATTTTTGAGTTGTAAAGATAATACACCATTGTACACATGCCTTCCTTTACAGTCATTTTATTTTCATGCCTTTAGGTTCACTACACTCGATTACAATACAAATACAATAGAAAATATGTAATGACCATATATTAGTATTTGATTTTTGAGAAGGATCCCTGAAGTGCATAGGCCCTTGGTTTATGAGTAATGTTGCACAAGCTTCTGTACAAACATGAATCACGTTCCTAATGACAAAGGTCTAATACAAAGAGAGGCACAGAGGGTTGAGACATCCAGGTGTAACTGCAAAAGGCCTTTGAAACTGTAGTACTTATTCAAAGTTTGGGCGTAGCTTGACGGCTTCACTTACAGAAACAGATTTCTGAAAGGAAATTCTTAAAGAACAGTAGCTATTGTGCACTGCAAAATGAGTCCAGCAAAACTTCATTCCCCTGGCCCAAACTCTAGATTTAGAATGAAAGGAAATAAATACATTTACTGTATGTTTTGTTGTGTGTTGCGGCACTTTTATGTATGTCCACTCTAAGAGTATATCCCATGAAAAACAGGCTAATTTTTGCAATATGCTTTCTATCTGACTTCTCATGCATCTAATACCGGAG